GAAATTTTGACAGTATTTCATTTTTAGTATTAATTATTCAGAAGGCTCTGATGAGGGGTGGTCTCTAAAATACTCCTCAAGCAACTGAGAGTTCTCTGGGGACTTTAGAGAATCCTTGAACACTCTGGACTGTCAAGTCCCAGAGCACACTCCATCCCAGCCTTGCCCTGTTCCTAGGGTAGAAGACTGTAAGATAAGTGGGGGGAAAGTAGGAGAGACAATATCTGAGGTGTATCTGGAGACTCAGAATTCTTCAGTTTAGCTTTTAAAAAATCGAATGGAGCTTTTTTTCTGTAATATAATTCACTTTCTGATTTATCTTTAAGCCTATTCAGTTAATTTGGCCTCTACAGACTAAAATAGGTGATAGGACATCTCACACATTTTTATGAAGTCCTTTAATAGGCTGGCATAGGTACAGAGAGGATAAGAAATTATAATATCAATGAGACAAATATTATATATTCATATGTAATATGTACATACACATGCACACACACAAATAAAATTTCATAATTAGCTAGTCCGTATTCAGTGTGCACTTGATTGGCTAGGACACCCAGAGGTCCTGGTGCCCCCTAGTGGTCACTGAATTATCACAGATCTCCTTGACAAGGAACAATCCACTGGGTGAAGAGGTAAAAACTTGCAAGATGAGAAATCAGGAAAACATGTAGAAGTGTTGTGCATAATTTAAGCCAGTTCTTCCTATCAGTGTTGGTGATTTATAGCAAAATGAAGTGTAAGTAATGGAAGGGAAGAACCTCCCCAGGCAAAATCAAATTTGAGGAAAAAGAAAAAGTATTGAACATGTGTTAAATGATTTCAAGTATCATGTGCCACATTCTCCAAGTTATATTTAGTTCTTTTAATGTTATCCAAATAATAAAAGTGATTTACCTTAACACTTTGAATATTTTAAGTAATTGGAAAATTTCAGTGATACATTAGCAATATTTAAGTGGACTCTTACAATTTATATATAGATTATATTTTTATTTGTTAAGCTATCTTAAATTAACTGAGTAATTGTGGTTAAAGAATTACAATTGTAATCTTCTAAACTTTACCCATTTGTCTGACCTCACAAAAGTAGGTGAAATTTTATAAAGGCACAAAATAGAGTCTTGACTTACAATTTAATTTCTGACCTCTGACTTCCTATACTGTCACCTTAATCTGAAGCTTAGAAAAATAAATGAAATTATTAATACGTTTTTAATGAGTTTACCTTATGTGCATTTTTTACATTAGACCGAAAATAAATATTTTATATATAGTACATAAATCATGCTAATGTAAATATGTAAATGATTTTCCTACACAGTGGAAAGATCGTTTTTATTTTGACCGAAATCACAGAGAACTCAATTTTCTGTAATATCTATTAACTGAGACATAATGCTTCTTTTCTGTTTATAATCAGTTTCTTCTGCACAGTACCTTTTCTAATTCAGTTTAAATTACCCCTTTTTCTGTGATGAACTTGCATTTTCACATTTACCAGCTGTGAATGCATTTATACGGTAAGTGCAAAAGTAGTAGGTTCAGAAACAGCCCTTTGATTTCATTGTTGTTGTTGTTAACTATTTAGTTTGACAGTCTTGGATTGGTAACACACAAAAGTCTCCAGTTGTTCCTTTACCCTCTAAAGGCCCGAATACTAGACACACATACACATACCCTTTTCTTTTATTTAAAAATTCATAGAACTTATTCCCCAAAGTCATTATAATTTACTCCTAAGCAACTATTTCTCACTTAAAATCAGAGGATAGTTCCCTGAGGTAAACAGTGAGGTAAATATTAGTATTGTAGCAAGTTAAAAGAAAATAACAGCTGTACCCTCATTTGGGATATATGTCTTGAATTTGCGCATTTATTTTTATCTTTGTACAGTTGTCTGTGATTATTAGTAATTTTATACTGATAGAATAATACAAAGTACATTAAAATTGGGTATATCTTCATTCTATCTGAAGAGAGGCATTTCTCTTTTCTTTTTTTTTATTCTTTTTATTTCTTTTTTTCATTCAGTCTCCATAGAGACTGTCAAAAATTGCCAACGCCGACTATATTTCAAGTCGTCGTGGTGGGGTATTGGGAAAAGTTTTCAATTAGCAATTAATCGCACCTCAGATAAACCTCATTGGCTACGATACTGCCACTGCGCAAAGCTATAGAGGCATTTTTCATCTTTACAGTATATGATACATGTTTCAAAAGAGGGGATATAAATGGAAATATTATGGTTTTAGTTTCTTTTTCCATTAAAATTTGTTAAATATAAGTAGGCAACTCTGTTGAATGCATTGTACAATGAATACATAAAAATTGAAAAATAGTTTTCAGAGTTTCTGCTTTGGCTCATGTGTATTGGTTGCATACACTATTTAGTATTGCTCAGCAAAATGAGTTCTAATTCACTTTATATACAAACACACTTCATTTTTAAAAATACTTTAGAAATAATATACATAAATCATAGATATTAAGGTAATATAAATTATAAGTATGTGAAGAAATATACTATGATTTGTTATTCTAAAATATAGAAGTTTTATGTATTGATTAGTATTTATTTCAGTGACTTTCAGTACTAATAGGTTTATATGTTTTATTGTTAGTCAAATACAGTCTAATGTAAATTTATATATTAAAACTGTGCTATTTAACACTGTATGACAAACATTCTCTTTTTAACTCAGTCATTTATTTTCATTTAAATGCTGTGAATTCTTTACCAATATACCTAGATACTACAAAAGAAGGAAGGTTGGTAAACCTAAAAATGAACATAATTGTGCAGCCCTGCAGGGAGAACTGTCAGCAGCCTGGCACATGTGCATTTAATGTGAAGCTTCTTGTCTCTAAAAATAAGAGTGAGGCTGCACATGCCCCTCTGTCTGACAGAGAGAGAGGACACATTAAGGGGACTTGCTATACCACTTACACTCATCAGAGAAGTGAAGGATGTTACTTCTTTGGTTTTCTGGTTTTAATGGAAAAGTATTTGTATTCACATCAGTGAGTATTAGTCATTCAATAGATGAAAGGAATGTTTTAAACTTTAAACTCTACCTCAGTGTCACTTTAAGAAGTGGGGATGAGACCCTGGGGAAAGTGTTGAAATCCCGGAGAATTTATTTTAGCTATTATAAGTGCTTTAATATTTGTGAGTTTGTAGTTCCTTGAGTTTTAAAGCCTATGTGTAGGGATTTGTGTTTTTAATTTTAATATTTTAGTTTACAAGTTTTACCCTTAAGTATCTATTCATGTAAATATCACTTCATCTTCTCTGTAACAAATATGCTCTCTCTATATATATTTTTTTCCAAGGTTAATCTATTAAGCAATTTACATTTTCTTTATATCTTTTAAAGGGCACTTAAGATGCTTTTTGATACAATTTCTAAAATATTTAGTAGGCATTATAGCTAGGAACAGTTAACATTTAAGAAATGTTACAGAAACTGCAGAATCAAAGAGGTTAAAGGGGAATAAAATTTGATTTCTTTCTTCAGTGTAATTTTATTAAGCAAGTAAAAACTACAGGAGACAATTCACCATAAAATAAAAATATCTGGGGACTGTTATCTCTGAGAAGTCTTTACTGTAAATACCAGAAACAACTCAATGTACCTTATATTTCCAGAAGAGAGGATGGGAAAAGTTTGGAGCCTTATGTGAGATCAAACTTTGTACCTATCAGAAATAAAGGGAGTCATGAATGACTGAGAATTTCTAGAAGGAAGAAATACAGCACGAGAAGAAAAGATCATCTTAAAAATGTGATCAAGTTACTCTGCTTAACATTTGAAACTGATGATTTGGCAATTAAGGTTTTTAGTTCTTCCTCTTATTATATTACCCACCTCTTGAATGCAAAGTGTCCAAAACTGCCTAATGGAAAACTGATTTCTTCACGCAGTAATCTTTGCTGTCCGGGTTGGATGAATTCAACTGGAAATGTTGGTGCCATTATTTATTCTTAGTTTTCCTTTGAAAGATAATTATTGAATAATTCCTGAAAATAGTAAATACTTGCAAAGGAGGAAGGTCTTGTTTATGAATTTAACAAGTGGTGGCATTCTTTAAAATTAAATATAATTAATAAAGCGAAATATAAAACGATCAAAGTGGAGCAATCCAAAGAAAATCTCGGAAAATGATAAACATGCAAAAAAATGATATAGAATCGTCTAAAGGTTTTCTCTTAACGTCTCACTTCACTCAACAAACTATAGTGAACCGATAGGGCGGGGGTGAAGGGGCGCCTAAAACAAAAGACTTCCTTTCCCCACTCCCTTTTCCTCTGTTTCTTTTGCCAGAGCTTGTTGCAAACTCTTGGAAACATTGTTTAAACCTAATACATTTGGTTACTTTTATTCTTCCAAGGATTGTGGTGGGTGGTGCCCAAAACTGACTGCCCTTGGAGTAACATAAAAAGAGAAGTAGAAACTTTTCAAAAAAGGCAAAGAAACAAAGTTACCCGACCCACAGAGGTTGCGAGTAACAACATAAAAGTAAAACGCACTTTACTTAAAGGTACAGTTCATTTCACTGTCCGGGCTCCGTACTTGGTAGCTGAGAGAAGGCTTGCTTCGCCTTTGACCGCGAGGAGTACAGCTATAGACAGGAGTCTAAATTGGGAGCATTATTCTCGGATTGACTGTGCTCCACGAAAGCTGCGGTTGCTAAAAGCAGAACGCCCAAAGCAGCACGCACCCTCGGCTACAATCCTCGTCCTCCTTCTCCGAGCATCCAGCGGGAACCCGGAGCTCAGAACCTGGAGGGAATCCTGGACCAGCAACCTGACTCCGCTCGGCACCCATTGGCTCAGGCTTCGGACCCCGCCCCCGAGGCCGGGGCTGCGGTTTCGCCAGGACCCGCCCCTTGGCCCTGGGAATCGCCTCCTGGCAGGCCGGCTGTGCCTGCCACTCAGCCCGAGTGGCGGAGGCTCTCGGCTCAGAGCCCCGCCCCCTCCCCCCTAATTGATATTATTGGAGTGTGGAGCAATCGGCCGGTCTGCAGTCGGAGACTTGCAGGCAGCAAACACGGTGCGAACGAACTGGAGGGGGGGAATATAAAAAAAGCTAAACGTGGAGCAGCCGGCCAGGGACCGAGAAGGGGAATTGATGCAAGGAGGGCAATAAAAAAAAAACACTTCGGAGCAAACAGCATTTAAAAAAGCTACGATTCAAGATAACTGAAACCTAAAATAAAACCTGCTCATGCACCATGGTTTTTCAAACTCGGTACCCTTCATGGATTATTTTATGCTACATCTGGCTGCTCCGCTTTGCACACACGGGGGAGGCGCAGGCTGCGAAGGAAGGTAAGGAGATGGCAAAGCAAAGTTTGTTCTGACTTATTTATTTAGCTGTCTACCTGCACGAGCCAGCTCGTCCGCGGCGCTGCCGGCCGCGCCTCCGGCTCCGGGCGACCCTCCCCCGCCGGCTCCCCGCCCCCTCACCGGTTGGGCCGCTCCTGGCGGACTGGCGGGTGGCAAGCCGGGGCTGCTGAGAACCGCTGCTGCTTTCAGCCGCCTGCAACCGCGCTCCCGGGGCCGTCCATCCGACGGGTGCGGGATTTCTGGCGCGGGCAGTCCGGAGGACGTGAGCAGCAACTGAGGGTGGTGGGGTGGGGTTTGGGGGACGGCCAGCGAGCTCATTCTCTAGGACCCGGGGCAGGTCACTTCTCTTCCTCTAGTCCTGTTCTCTTCCTCCTCTCCTTGTTCGTGTCTGGTGGGAGCAGCCCGGAGTTGGATCGGAGAATGGGGAGTGCAACCCCTAGGGTCCCCGCCAGCCCGCCAGCGAGCGGCGGGAGCCCGGAGCCTTCCCAGAGGGGCCGAGACTTCTGTGAGCTCGGAAAGCTCGGGTTACTAATGAAGTGCTCACTGCGTCGGAGGCGGCGGCGCGGGCCTGCGGTTGGCGCTCGGCCGCCAGCGCGGAACAATAACGCCGCGGAGGTGAAGCAGGGCGAGTGGCGCGCGCCCCGCGGGCCGGGGATGTCTCCATTCAGCGCGCGCTGCGCGCGGGGCCCAGGTGCCGTGGGGTCAGCGGCAGTCCGCGGGCTTGGTCCGGCCGGGCAGGCAGGGGGCGGGTTGGGGCTGTGCAATTTGTAAAGAGATGCCGCCTGGGCAACTTGAAATCGCCAATTATTTGCCTCACAGTCCGGTACTTGAGGGGACCGAGTGGCCAAATCGTGCGAAAGACCTGGATCCTGAGGATTAGTTCTGGTTGGAGAGAGCAGGTTTCATCTGGCCAGCTAGAAACGCCTGTATATGGTTATTTTTTCCTTCTTTTTCTTTTAACTGTTGACAGAAGGTAAAATACCTTTCGGTGCCTGTAGTTGGAGCTGGGGAAAAATAAATCTTGTCAATGGAAGCGTCTTGTTTCTGAGCAGTGTCACAATCCCCGCCAGCTCCCTTCTCCCGTCTTCCAGGCTGTGCGTTTAAGGTTGATTTTCCGATGTTTTAAAAGCAGAATACGAATAATTACTTGTTTCTGAAGTGTTGAGGGGGGAAAAATCTGTTATCAAATTTAGGTCATTGTGGCGATGGGGGGTACATATCGGCCCTTGCTTCATCTATTCCTGAAAACTTAGTCATTTAGCGCTGCTTTTCCTTATTTTTTTCGTGAACCCCTCTTCGTTCACTCGGCCCCCCAACACCACGCCGTATTCTATTCCTTCTTCCACCCTGACCTTGTGACCCCCAGTTTTCACATCTGCAACCTGTGTTGACGCTGAACCCATTCAGAGAAACCCGTGCTTCTGAGCTAACGGTTACGTGTTCGCAGATGGATGAAAGTCGGCTAGAAACGCACACCGATACATACCCAAAACCACATTTCCACTCTCCTGACATTAGCGATCAGATACATTCAGGCCTGGCACCTTGTCCTTATTCCTCCGGAACAGCAAGACCTGAGGAAAAGTTTGCACCGCGCGGCGAAGCCGGGCGCGCGAACACACGCAGACTCGGGCAGGAGTTCGGGCTATAAATAACTGCATCACTAGGGGGAGAGGTTCCTGCAGCCAGAGTGTCTCTCTCACTTTGCTCTACTGGGTGCACGCTACGTGGAGAGGATTCTGATTCTAGGAGCCTGAATTCTTTAGATACAGAAGTGAGATGTTTAAAATGCGGGAGGGCGGGGGTGCCCTCCTCTGTGGCGGGCGGGTGGCGAGTGCGCCCGATTTCTTGGGGGCGACGCTCCCAGCGCGCAGCGGCGACCAAGAGCCGGGTTTCTGGGAACAAGCAAGCCCTGAGGCGGCCCGCGGATCACTTGGGCTAGCGCTGGGAACCGCCTCGAGCAGGTGCCTGGCCTCCCAGGGTGGTTGGGGGTGGCTGGAGGAAGAAAAGGGACCCACTCCCTCCACTTTTCCTATGCACATTCTCTTGGGGAGGTCAGCTGCCGCTACTGGGAGCGCCTGTCAGAGTCTGATGCTTGGAGGCGAAGTGCAGCTGCTGCTTTTCCTTTCCGTAAATGCCGCCGCCGCCTTTCCCTCAGTGGAGATGCTTCCCGAAAGCCTCTCTCCTCCTTCCGGCTCCTTCTGGAGCCAGGGCGCCACCGGCTCCCTGGAGTGCCCAGGTCCGGCTGGCTGAGGCGTACTGGATGCTCGGCGCGGCTGGCGCGCCAGTCTGGCAGCCCCCGCCCCGCCCCGCCGACGGCCCCGCCCCGGCCCGGAGAAGCCAGGCGCTGCCCGCGCTGCCCTCCACTGGCTTAGCCCGGGGCGCGCCCCGCGTCTCGCCCCTCTCCCCTCGCCCCCGCCTGCCCCGCACGGCAGGGCGCGGAGCCCCGGAGTCCCGGGTCTGTGCCCCCGCGTCCGCGTGGGCGGCCGGGCTGCGCGTCCGCAGGCAGCGAGGAAGGTTGGCAGTCTGCTCGGAGAGGGAAGGGGAAAGCGCGCACTTGAGGGTTTCTCCAGAGAGCGGACGGCGAGGGAGAGGGGCACACTGATCGCTCGAGAGCTGCTTCTGATTAAAGGCTGTCGGGCTGCTTTCTGTTTTGTTTTAATTTGTTAGTGCGTTTCTCTTTTAACTTGTTTGCCATCACTGCTCTGCCTCGGTCCCAGGCTTCTACCCCCATGCAGAGCTGAGGGGTAGCAGAACGGCAATAAACAATCATTACAGTGCTTATTTCACTCTGAGAAACGACCCAAGAATGTCACCTGGATTTAAAATGCAGTTGTCCGTATTCAGTACAGAAGACACACACAAAAAGACATCTCAAAAAAAGAGTGCCTGGAACCCACATTGTTTCCCTGTGCTTCGTCTTTATTGTTGAGGGTAAAAATAAACTTTAAAAATTACTTTTCATATAAATTCACTAGTTTAACGACATATTGATGTTCCAAGTTGAAATACAAATTGATACTTTTAAAGTATGTGTGTTTCTTATTTGAAAGGGAGTCAACTGTTTGTGATTAAGGTTTTTTCTTTTTTTTTTCTGTCATGGACTCCCTGAGAGTCTTAGTAAACAAACAAATAAACAAAAAATCCCTCCAAATCCCCAATGTTTCTGTATTTTCAATTACAAGGAATAACCTTGACTAGTGCTAAGGAATTAAACACATAATCAACAGTTCCTTTGTTTTCTTAGCATAACATGTTTCCATTACCTTTCAAATACTCATTCCCCCACATTGAGAGTTGTTTAATATTTAAAAGTTTATATAGCAAGTATTTTATTTAAATCAAAATTTTAACAATTTACAGAGGTTGATGTTAAGCATATTTACATAATTAAAATATGTTCACTATTATTTCTGAACAAATGATGTATTTGTCAAAATGCTGTAGAGTTAGGTAAATATTTTTAAAGTGCAAAAACTCATGTAACTCTGTAACCACTTTGGCCAAAAGAGTGAGTGGTTTAGGAGAGTAAATTGTCCTAAAATAAACAATACAATATATAAAATTGGAAGTATGATGTGTATTGATGTATGACTTTCTAATGTGTTCTCATATTGATACTATTAGAAGCATTTCACACTTTATGTAAATATTAAATTGCACTGTGCTTTTTGATAGCATAAAAGTGGAATACAACTGTTTTCAGAAGTCAAATCAGAGTTTAAACATGCCATTTTGAGAATTAGCTAATATCTTGAAATATTTAGAAATTTAAAAAAAAGTATACTGAAAACTGATGTTTGACTAACCCAGAAATATATGTTATAAATAATATGCAATTTATTTTCTTCTGATTACATTGCTTAATATGGTTTTTAACCTTTCTATATTGATTCTGGCTTAAGAGAAAACACTATGTGTGGAAAGTTTTTTAAAAAGGTAAACTCCAATTCTCAAAAGACAATAAGAAATACTTTTGATATAATATTACAAATTAATGAATAACTGAAGAATAATATGGGCATTATACCTCATTATGTTTATGTTATATTTGACAAAGTTTGGAGGGTTCAGTGGTTTACAAAACTATAGTATATAATTACTATAGGATCAATATATCACATATCGATTTTTTACCCTCATCTTCATTCTGCTATTGCATTTTAAAATTTATTTCAATATTTTAATTAAAGAATACCATATATAATATTGGCATTTTAACATCTTTTCCCCTTAAGAAATTGGAATATACTTGTATTAAGTGGCTGTTTATTTCACCATTCATTTACATGAATATATATATCTCTTAAGTCATAAAGTGATAATTATATAAAAAATTAAATTGACCTTAAAAATGTTTACAAATGTGTTTAAATTGTTAATTTAATATTTGGAAATAAACTTTCTTTTTCAGTACTACTGCTGGATTCTAAAGCACAACAAACAGAGTTGGAATGGATTTCCTCTCCACCCAATGGGGTAAGTGCTTTTTCTCATAAAATATCACTATTTATTTTTTAAAGAAAGAGACAAAACCTTACTCCTGCAGGGGAATTATTTACATTCTTCATATTTGAACTGTTTTACTTCCAAATTTCTTGTTCAATATTCTGTTGTGTTTATAATGAGACATTGAGTTCTCTGAGTAAAGAAGGTATACTTAGAACTTGGGCAAATGAGGAAAAAAAAAAACAAAAACTCCCCATAACCATAGTCTTTTGAGTCCTTATTGTGAGTGGAATCATACCTCAGGGTCCAGGCTACGAAAGCTAACTAATTACAGTGAGCATTCCTTTCACAAACTCACTTAAACCCCTTTAGTTGCTTTATACTTCTGAAGTATAATCACCAAGTAGGTTGTGTGTAATTCTTTAAAACAGTATGTAATCTGTTTTCCTCTTTTAACAACAGTTTTAGCATCATGCAAAATATACTTCAAAAGGCAGCTAAAAATGTACTGTGCTTAACACTATGGCATAAAATGTGCTATATTTTTTAAATTTTCCAGATTTATATCGTGTGCTATCTGCTGTTATTAATCAGAAGTGATGTCAGAGCATGCACATATTACAGTAAAAACCTGCTACAATAAATATGAGTGAAAGTTATACAATAAAAATCTATCAAAATATAAGTAAATTCTAAAAAACACTGACCATTATGTTTCATATATCCAGAAAGATATATTACTTAAATGTAGTTCAATAGCCATGTCTTCAGATCTTATTTTTAATTGTGAGAGAGGGCACAATCTTCATTCTGTATTAAGGAAGAAAGGAGAATATATCCCATTGTTACTTAAGTTTATCTTTCGCACATTAAGAAATCCAAAGTTAAAAGAGTGTGAAGTGTAAGTGGGGATATAAAAACTGTAGCAGATTTTGCAAAGACAGGAATGAAAGTCGGAAAGGGATTGTTCAGTATAAGAACAACATCATAAAATCAACATGTCAGGAACTGAAAGTCAGTTTAAGAATGCAAAATGTGAACAAAGCAAATCTGTTTAAAATATTCAGACTTTTCATTAAATATAAGTTTTGAAAGATTGATTTAGTTCTTACTGTGATTATCTATCCATCACAATAAATTACAGAAAAATGACAAATATTTTACAGATTAAATATAAAAAGTACACTGAGTTTTTGGTATGAATGTAATACTTTTCTTGAAAGTGAAGTGGTTTCTGTGAGTAAAATAGTATACACTGTAGAAAGACATTCATGTTAAAAAATGAAACACCTTTCTTGCCAATGACAGATGTAGCCCATTTTCTACCATCCATCAATTAAAACAAATAGAGATAGAGGATGGCTGTATCTCTGAGGAGAAGTAAACTGACAAATAATTGTAGTATTTCATCCATGTAATCCACAAAATGATAAATTATGACTGACAATGTTATCTTGGCCTCAAATGGGCATTTTATCAGTCCAAAGTATCTTGAGTTAACGGTTAACCCTACATATCCATAGGAAACAACAAATAATATTAGAAAATAATGATCAACAGCATTTTCCACGTATGAAATGAATTGGTTCACATGTGATTAAATATCTTAACTGGAAAGAAAACGTTACTAAAACAAAAGTTTTGAGAAAATATTTTCGTAAGCATACTGTAAAAATAGTATATGTAATGCAGTATCTGAATTAAGACATTTTTCCCAATGGTGTCATTTGTGGAAATGATTGCAGTCTCTTAGAAAGTGAGGTAATAAAATAAGAATTGCGTTAAAGGCATTTATATAGTTCCCCTATTTGTTATCTATACCGTAGTTTTCTTGGTATTTTCCCCTCCAGAGTAAACTTTTTAAATACAAATTAAAATTAACTGGGTTCCAAGGGTAGTAAAATTGATTTTTCTTACATAGAATAAAATAATATAATTGTCCTTGAAGTTAAAGGAATTCTTGGGATGTATTCTTTTATAATAAATAGCTTTGGTTTCTTCAAAGTGGGGAATTGTTAAAAAGAACACACCTCTGGAGCTTTTGATTTTTTGGTAGATACCATTACTAGTTTTACTTCTAATAATTTCAGTCTAATTAAGAGACTCAAATCTACCCATCCAAATGGATGAATTTGGATATATTGGGCTGAGTGCCATTCACATTATAAACATCTAACTGAAACAAAGGGAAAATATGCTCACTGTTGACTAGGCACAGATGCAAGTTGTGCTGAGTAAAAGCTGAACATTAAAATGGGTTCTTTGCTGCATTTGAGTACCTTTGATGATATCAGGCTGTGTATAATGAAATTGTGGCAAATATTATATAACATCACACAAGAAATTTCTGAATTATGGTATACTGCTAATTTGTCATTTGCTTTAATTTTCTAAGAACCAGTTTTAAAAGTAGATATTAATATTATGCAGAATATTTAAATAAATTATACTCTGATCAAGTTTTATAAATAAAACTCTTTACCACATGCTTATTAGTTTATTTTCCCATCTGCTTTTCTTCAGTGGTTTAAATATTGTGTGCTATATGACCTTCATCTTGAGCACTAATATATTTTTATATTTGGTATTTTTTATTGGGGAAATGAATAAAAATGGATGACAATTTCACTATTAAGGCATCATAAATGTAAAGCGGGGAATTTTGTAATAATGGTAAAAAATATAAACTATTATTTTAGGCTTATAAGTCTATTAGGTGAAATTAATTTACTTACTAATGAGCAATAAAGAGTATTATATATGGTTTAATAGTCTTTGGAATTGTTGCAAATTTTGCTAAATGTATTATTTTTTCCTTTTCTGTTAAAATACATAATATTGGTTTGCTTGTAGTATACATTGTATCAGCATATGAATCGACATTTTTAAACATCTGATATTTTTTCCGTAAGAAAGCTTTTACTATATATGATCCGGCATGCTGATTTGTCATGTACATTTGATTGTCTATTGAAAGAAATTTATTTATAAAGATGAGTCATACTTTTATAACCACTTATTTATTGTTTTGTGGCTTTATGTACAATATTATATATTATATTGAGCAAATAAATAGTTCTGTAAGATGTTACTTCCTTATACCTCATTTTGAAAAGATTGTAAAATATTCCACATTATAAGTATCAACATATTGTTGAATGCTTTTACATTTCAGAGTACTCTTGGCATTTTCTTCTTTGTGTTTTTAGGTACTCTCTAATTTTAAGTATAATATGGACACTTAAAATGTCAACTGAGTTATCAAAAATTCTTCCATTCATCCATATATATATATATGCTTTAATCAGTAGTTTGAAATAATTGTGAGCTTTAGTCTATGAAAATTCTAATCTCAATGGAGAATGTAGACATAAGCAAACATGTAAAAAGTAATGCCAATGTACTTGCAAACATATATTAAACAAAATGAAATTGTATGTACAAACAATGCAAGCAACATAACCGATGTTCTGCCACCAGGATGAAGGAAAACTGGGAATCTTACATTCTCTGGTTTACAGTGTTTGCTAAGGTAGGAATCAACCTAACTCTTTCAAAGATCAGCATTTGTGATATATGTGCACTTTTAAAAGCAAAATGTTATTTTTTGCTGAATGACTGATGACCTTTTTTAAATTTCACAGTGGGAAGAAATTAGTGGTTTGGATGAGAACTATACCCCAATACGAACATACCAGGTGTGCCAGGTCATGGAGCCCAACCAAAACAACTGGCTGCGGACTAACTGGATTTCGAAAGGCAATGCACAAAGGATTTTTGTAGAATTGAAATTCACCCTGAGGGATTGTAACAGTCTTCCTGGAGTACTGGGAACTTGCAAGGAAACCTTTAATTTGTACTATTATGAAACAGACTATGACACTGGGAGGAATATAAGAGAAAACCTCTATGTAAAAATAGACACCATTGCTGCAGATGAAAGTTTTACCCAAGGTGACCTTGGTGAAAGAAAGATGAAGCTTAACACTGAGGTGAGAGAGATTGGACCTTTGTCCAAAAAGGGATTCTATCTTGCCTTTCAGGATGTAGGGGCTTGCATAGCTTTGGTTTCTGTCAAAGTGTACTACAAGAAGTGCTGGTCCATTATTGAGAACTTAGCTATCTTTCCAGATACAGTGACTGGTTCAGAATTTTCCTCTTTAGTCGAGGTTCGAGGGACTTGTGTCAGCAGTGCAGAGGAAGAGGCGGAAAACTCCCCCAGGATGCACTGCAGTGCAGAAGGAGAATGGTTAGTGCCCATTGGAAAATGTATCTGCAAAGCAGGCTACCAGCAAAAAGGGGACACTTGTGAACGTAAGTAATATGTGCTATTAAAACTCTATTTTGCAATTTTTTCTATATCAATAAAAATAATAAGTAAATCTGCTCTATACAAGCAGTCCAATTCAGTAGATCTTAAACAAAGTCACTTCACTATTGAACTTAACTGATTATCCACAGTCGTATCTGCACCATAGGTGTGCAATAAACATTTGTGATAATGATATTTGTTACCAAAATTTAAGTTGTCCTATGCTTGACATGGAAGTCCACAGTTACACATTGGGTTACGGAGTTTAAGAAAGGAAATTGGTAGGCAGATTTTAGCCTGGGAAGACTGAGGTGACATTAATTAGGATTTAATCAGATGTGATTTCTCCTGTTTTTAAACCCATATTATCTGGGCCTGCGAATAGCAGAAAACGGCAAGTTAAGGGGGCTGCTAACAGAGTTCTATTGACAGGCCAGGCATAAAGAAATAAATTTACAATCTTTTATAAATACTAAAACTTTGATATAAAATCATCAAATTTCATTTAATAAATCTCTGTGGTTACTTCTGCCAAAGCTATAATTCTTTTCTGGACTAAATAATAAAATGACCACATTTTTGTGGAAGTGGGCCAAAGTAAAGTTTTAGTTATTTAAGTACATCAGCTACATGTTTTCTTTTTGTTTTGAAGCAATAATAGCATATGAATTCGTAAACCTTTTTCTTTGTTTCATAAAACTGGATTTTTCTCTTAATAGAGTTTTGTGATCTAATATTTAAAACTGTCACATGAATCTTCCAAATTGATAAATATTTTTTCTGGTCATAGATATCCTGAAAAATATAATAAGATTATATTACTTACGTCTCTTTTAGCTTGTAAAACATAATACATTCCAAAAACTAACTTTTATATATCCTTTGTACTCCTAAGCTGGCAGCATAATTTTAATATTTGCAATTTCTAGTTAGAGGGGAATACCACTAATAATAATTGTTATAACTAAGTTTTCTTGATAACTTATTATGTGTACATACTCTGCCTTGTGTTTTACATATGCTAGCTTATTTTACAAGGTAGATATAATTATCATTTCTGTTTTGCACAATAGAAAATTGGGACTATGAAGGGTAAATAGCTTACTTGCAGTTACTTTCATATTATGTGTCTTAGCTTAAATTCAAACTCAGGGCATTCTGACTCTAGAGCCTGGACTTCTAGCAACAATATAACTCTAGTTTTCAAAGCAAGGAGAATCCTAGCAAACATTCTGGTTTATTGTTAACTTAAATGTCTCACTGGTAGTGTTTTGGTGCCCACATATATTGTATATAAATCATATTATTTCCCCATAAAATTCTCATTCTAGTAGAATACTTTGAAAAGAAATAATACTTAAAAGTATATTTAGGTCTGCGCTGTCCAATATGGTAGCCAGCAGCCATATTTGGCTCTTTAGGTTTTGAAAAACAGCTCTTCCAAATTGAGATGTGCTGTAAGTGTAAAGTACACACTGGATTTTGAAGGCATACTACAAAAAAAAAAAAAAAAAAAACCTGCAACATACATCGTTAGTAATTTTTTATGTTTCTTACATGTTGAAATAATCATATTTTAGATATGTTGGGTTAAATAGAATATAATATTAAAATTAGTTTCAACTGTTTCTTTTTAATGCAGCTAATAGAAATTTAAAAATTTCATTTGTGGCTCACATGATATTTTTATTGGTTACACTTTTTAGATGGAATAACTAAGCAAATATATTTTTTTTCTACCCTGTTTGAAGAGTTAAAGACCTCAGGTGGATGGTCACTAAGCATATAAAGTACCTGTGGCCCTGTATTCAATTATCATCTACACCATAGCTGACATTGTCAAGTGAACTCTGAGCAAAACAAATGGGGATGATATAGGTTCGGGTCCCATAGGCCAGTTTAACAGTGTCCTTTTGTACCCCCTGAAGGAGTTAATCCTGTCTCCCATTATCTTCTTCCTTCATCCCTCACTAGCAGTGTTTCTAACTGAGTAGAAAATCCTGTAAGTTCCATGTAAGTATAAATCAAAAACTGATGAAGATTAATCACTATTAGTAGGTAGAATCCTATTCCACTGGGTAAGTATAGAAATATTCTTAGTGAACTAATCAATTCAATAAAAGGCAATGTTCTTAATTGACTAGAAGTTAACAACAGTTACCTGAAAGTGCCAATGGATTCAGCAGTAATTATTACAGAAATTTTTAAGAATGTTATTACATTTTAGCTGTAAAAGCAACCAGTTTCAATATTGTGCTGATGTGAAAGTAGAATTTAAAAGTTTTCATAATTAAAAATTGGAAAAATAACAAATACAGCAGAAATTCATATAAAAGTACACAATTAAGATTATCTGAGAAAAGACTAGGAAATAACATTAAAAGTCCTGCTCTTTTAAAGATTTTAAAGTAGATTACAGTTTTTTGTTTCATTTTGTATAATTTAACTCAAATGACCTCCACATTTACTTGATAAGAAAAACCAAACAGGAACTGTTTGACTTCTATACTTGTAAGTATAGAATTTAATAAGAAAAGCAGTCTTTAACTACAGTGAACAGCTATATTTACCATGAAGAAAAGATGCCAGTTTCTTCCAAATGAGCAAGATCATCTCATTAAATATCACACTATTAAAATTTCTCACATGCATTTATTTTAGTTTCAAGAATTGAGACATTTGAGTACCAAAATTATTGTCACCTGAAAACCATAGTAAGATATTTTAAAATAAAGTACAATGACTCTTCTATCCTCTTCATTAATTTTGCATTGGAATAGGTGGAATTAGGTATTAATAATAAGCATTAATAAAAAAAAACATGGTTAAAAGAGGCAGGACGCGTCCTTATGGTTTAACTGAAAGACTATGTGCTCGTTGTTGCAAGTCAAGTAAATTGTTTATGACATAACTTTCCAAATTTTTAGCCTTGGTGATGTTGACAGAGGAATTAAATACTTTATACTTAACTGTGGAATTATGTTCATTTGCAAAACCATTCCTTCCTTGGCATAATTCCATTGCATTGCTGCAAGAGTACTTGCCTCTGGAATCAATCCAGGCCTGCCTTTATAGTATTCTTCCTGTTTCCTTTCAATGATCCTGTTAAGAGTTTGAAAACAAATTCCAGTCCCATATTGAGGAAAACTAATGTGTTTGAGAGAGGATGCTAGTGATTCCCTAGCCAAATGAGAGTGGTTAGCCACTTAAAGGCAAGTTTATCTGGGCACTTTCTGAAGTGGCAGCCCATTGTGAGGTTTGCTAGAGGATAATATGAGATATGAATAACTAAGAAAACTGATTACAGTTTTGATCAGTTGATGTAAGAGCTTTTATTCATGACTGAAAGAAAAACTCAGTTTTGAAAACCAATGTTTCTTAAGTCTGCTGATATATGGAGACCTTCTGTCTAATTCTTAAATGTAGTATTTTTATGAAGACATCTCTTTACAATCATTTTATATTACATAATTCCAGTTAGCATACTTTTATTGTCAAAAGTCCTTTTTAAAGTAACCTTATAAATTATGTAACAACTTTAATGCAAACTTGCCAGTATTTTTGTTAGACAAAAAGTACAGTCATTTTAAACTTTGAGAGATTATATTTTACATACATAAATATTCTGGGAAGACTAATAACATTGAATACTAAAATATATTTTGAATTTTTACAACTTTTGTACAGTTTTATTCTATTTAGAAAGTAGAATAATGTTTGTCAAAGTATGGAGTTAGATATTATAACTTGGATTGGGATAGGGATTTTGCAGTTTACACTGAATAATCATGTTCATTTTCTCATTTAAACCTTGTCACATCACTAAGACGTGGAAAGTATTATTTTTCTCTCTTTCATCATATAAAGAAACCGAAGCTCAGAGATATTAATAGGTAACAAAATTCGATGATAATTCAGAAATCCTGGTTAGCAATTTAAGTCTTTTTTCCGCACTACACCACACTCCTTCCTGAAAATTTGTTTTGGACTTGAATCAGTAGAATTTAGTTAATGAAGAACTAATGAAACTTTGTTCTAAGTAGAATAACTACATGTTCAGTTTGCTTGGGATAATTGTTTTACTTATTAACACTGCTTCTTTGTGGTTTCTAAAGTGTTCTTTCTGATTTGGATGATAAAATATTTGATCAACCTAATTAAAAAACATTGAAGGATATAATGTAATTTACAAGTACATATATCAGAACATAGAAATGTGGTTCCTTGGATTATTTATGTTGCTTAATTTAAGTTTCTTGAAGGCAAAGATTTAAAATTTTCCTTTTTGATGATTTCATGTAAAGTGGAATTCAAATAATCATAGATATATAATTTTATAAGGCACTTCTTTAATATTTACTTCTTAATATTTTTGAGTTAACAGATCTATCATTATTTTAATAATATATATTTTATGCAAGTATAACATGTATAATTTAATAAATTAAAACATCTTTTTACTTTTATAGTATTAACAATATTTAAAATCTATTTTTTGATTAATTTTTTTGGAAACTGCTTTATTTTCACAGACAAGTAACATGTAATTTGTACCATCAAATTTCTGTAATAAAAACGGCTCTTCCAAATATATAGTATTTATAATTAAAGAGATATACTGGTATGTAAGATACACTACTAGGTTAATAGCTGAGATGCTGGAGTCACAGAGGTTTAAAATCCTGGTTCCACAATTTATCAGGTACATAAAGTAGGACAATCTCTCTAAACCTTAATTTCCTCAAGCATAAAATGGGGCTAATAAAAATAGTACCTCCCTCATAGGGTTCTTGTCAGAATTGAATGAAATAATGCATGTAAAAATCCTAAGAATAATATCTGGGACATAGCAAATAATCAATGAATGCTTGCTGTTATCTTATTATTAATAAAGCAACAATGAGTTTGCTAAGTAAAGAAATTTCATGGTAATGAATGAATGAACATATATTTCCTAGGATACAAATAGTTAAGCTAGTAATCCCACCCCTGATAATTTATCTATGAAAGGATGTTAATAAAAGAAAACTTTGTACATAACATTTTTTTCCCTCAGCAATGTATATGATTTGAATTATTGGAAATAACCCGAATGTCCAAAGTTAAGATGCATCACCTTGATTGAACTTAATCCATAAAATATCAATGATGCTGTATAAGAATTTTGAATTTTTATTAATAATTTTGAATGAAAAAATAAAATTTGATATACACTGATGCTTATACACTGATGTTTAGAATTCTGCAAAATATACTCAGGAAAAAGAATAGATGGGAACATAAATATAAAAATGAATGTGTCAGTGTGGTAAGATTGTGGGTGATCTTTTGCTCTCCATATTTTTAAAATATCTTGAACATTAACTTTTATTTTTCTACAATATAAGTTATAAGGAACCTGATAGCTCATGCAAAGACAACTTGAATTGTATCTCAAAATACGGGTTTTTAAATCATGTTAGCATCTGTATAGGACACAGGACTCACAAAATAGAGCAGTACTAAATAGCAACTACAGTTTAAATCATATAAAAGGGGGAAGATTCAAGGCATTCAATAAAAGCAGCTCATATATTTTATATGTTTGTTTTTTAGTTATTAGTAGATAGTAAGTCCTATTTTAAGTACTTCATGTGTATGAACTAATTTAATCTCAACATAGTTGTTGCTAACTCATTTAATCTAACAGGCACTATAATTACCCAGTTTAAAAGAGAAAAATATTCCTATTG